AAATATCGTCATTCTTATTACAATGCGAAAATTGAACTAAACCAAAGAATGTGACAAACAAGCCAAAATCCATCACCATCATGTAATCCCATCACGTTCCTACTCAACGTGTACCTGAAATGTGATAATGGGGTGAGCTCACAAGCTCAGCAATAAATGCTAAACACAATCATCGTTCAGCAAATTAACCTTACCTTATATTCCTGTATATATAAGCAACTCAAATAAGTTCATTATTCAAATGTGTATAACCCAGTTAATTATAAACTTAATAAATAACCATCTTTTATTTTTAATAAATCGGCATATCTCACATGAGCCCCGGGCTCCCGTCCAATAAAATGGTGTGAATCGTATAGTCCCTGACTACCAAAAACACACGTGTGGCTGGATTGTACGTCTACTTCCCAGATGATCCCTGATCACGTCCACACAATAAGGGCTCATTAGACCCATGGCCATTAACAAAAGGGTAGTGCACTCCCAAATAGGTAGGTCCCTGACCATACCCATGAGTCATCATAGGGTCGGTCCCTGACTGCCCTCCGACTAATCCAAACTCATCATTATTAACTATGGTGAATTATGATAGACATTATTAATTAATAATTTAAATTAATAAGCAATACTCCCGAACACACTTTTAATTTAAAACAAAACCCTAAAGACCCAACTAGTGGGAGTACAGAAATTCTGGACATGCTCTAATATTATATATAAATCCCTGTAACATTTTTGAGTCAAACCTTTAATAATTTTTCCGTACTCTCCATTAATTGTTTTTTTTTTCCAAGTTTTAGTTTGGTTAAATTATCTAAACAGTATCTAAAAAACAAGATTTCATCACAATTGATTTCAATATGCTTACACAGAGTAATATAGAATTTCCTGTAATTTTGAAATATGATCACTATTTTTCTTTCCTAATTTAATTAAATCAAGATCACTTAAAAGAAAATAATTAAAAATAATATTGAATCTCTATGGACACAACAGTGAACCCAAAATAACATATTTAGGAAGTGACATGGAAACCCAGTTAAAAACGCATATGGGTCTCTCTCTCTCATTCACTTGTCCCTTGACTGCGAGTGGTTACACAAACCCACTACATCACCATCATCCGAATATGATTCCCAATATGCTATTAGCAATTAATTATGGAAATCTATAGTTACATCTAATCTAACCCACTAGCAGGCCCACAAGAAGTTACTGGAGTCATTCTAAATAAAATTACTTATATAAGAGGTCTAACATGCATATATACGTACATAAATATTCATATATATATATATATATATATATATATATATATATATATATTTGCACCTTCACAGTACTCCAACAAAGTTAACAGAGCAGGTTCAGGCTTCTAAATTCCATGATATGCTTCCACAAATCTCCTTAGTTCTTCAACCATATATGCCACATATATTATATCACATATATACCAATAGATCATAACAGGAACCCATCTATAATAATCATTGAAATCCTTTGAATGGAAACTGTACATTGCATTATGTAAAACTTTAAATTCAACTTACCAATAATAACATGCCTAGACTAAACCATCCTAACTAAATCCTTGATTTTGAGTTCTACGATCAAACTTAATTTAATTATTTAGAACAAATAATTTCTTTTATTGGAACCTAATAATTTAAGAAAGCAAGTGCACAGTTGTACTAGTATAATCCTAACTTTAAGAATAATATTTTTACAATTTATTTAAAACACACAAATTAGATTTTTTTAAGATTTATCATAATCAAGTTTCAAATATATATAAAAATACAATGCAAGATTAACTTGCCTGGTATAAATAATTCTTCCTTTCTACGCGACTTCCCGATTACCGTTCCTTTCCCCCGGCTACTGCAGGAAAACACGACGTCAAATCACTCTCTCTGGTCCCTTCTTCTCCCGTTATCGTGCTAATATATCTTTTTTTATATATATAAATAAAACGTATTAGAGAGTTATAGAGATATAAGGAGTCTGGTGAGATAAATTAGTTTTTTTTTTTTTTTAAATTTAAATTATTTAACAAACTTTATCACAATCACCCATTTAAATTAAAACAGAGATAACCATTAAATTATATTAAGTAAATAAATATATGATATAAATATATATATATGTATTTTACACGGGTCTTACATTCTACCCTCCTAGAAAGAAATTTCGTCCTCGAAATTTGCGTACCTTATTCGAATAGATGTGGGTACTTTCCCTTCATTTCTGACTCTAGCTCCCAAGTAGCCTCTCTCTCATCCTGATGATTCCACTGTACCTTCACCAGAGGTATCTCTGCCTGCCTCAACTGTTTCACCATACTGTCAACAATGCGAACAAGCGTCTCAACATAGGTCGTATTAGGGCAAATCTGGACCTCTGTGCAGTCAATGACCTGAGTTTCATCCCTCAAGCACCTCCTCAACATAGAGACATGGAAAACATCGTGAACAGCTGATAGTCTAGGTGGTAGAGCCAATCTATATGCCACCACTCCAACCCTCTCTGTGATCTCAAAAGGTCCAATGAATCGAGGAGCTAACTTCCCTTTCTTCCTACCAAATCTCGTAACCCCCTTCATTGGTGATACTTTCAAGAAAACCAAGTCACCCACGCTAAACTCCAAAGCACGACGGCGTCGGTCTGCATAACTCTTTTGTCGACTCTGAGCTGTGCGAAGTCGATCTCGAATGATGGCAACCTTCTCCGTAGTCTCTTGCACCAACTCTGGCCCCAAAAAACTACCATCACCAACCTCAGCCCAACATACAGGTGAACGACAAGGTCTACCATAAAGTGCCTCATATGGTGCCATGCCGATACTAGCCTGATAGCTATTATTATAAGCGAACTCAACCAATGGTATGTGATCCTCCCAACTGCCCCGAAAATCTAGCACACAAGCACGAAGCATATCCTCCAACACCTGAATGACCCTCTCAGACTGGCCATCGGTCTGAGGATGAAAAGCAGTACTCAAACTCAAAGGAGTACCAAAAGCTGCTTGGAAACTACTCCAAAATCGAGATGAAAAACGAGGATCATGATCTGAGACAATAGACACCGGCACTCCATGAAGCTTAACTATGTCTCTAATGTAGATCTTACACAATTCCTTTACAGTATCAGTAGCTCGAATGGGTAGAAAATGAGCTGATTTAGTCAATCGGTCCACTATCACCCATACTGTATCATGGTTATGTATCGACCTCGGTAACCCCACTACAAAATCCATCGTCACATGCTCCCATTTCCACTCAGGCACAGGCAAAGGCTGTAATAGTCCTGCTGGTCTCTGGTGCTCAGCTTTCACTCGCTGACAAGTGAGACATCTAGATACAAACTCTGCCACATCACGTTTCATGCCTTCCCACCAGAACTGCCTCTTAAGATCATGATACATCTTAGTGCCACCTGGGTGCACTGTGTACCTAGAGTGATGTGCCTCCTCTAAAATCTCTCTCTTGAGGTCTGCTAAGTCTGGAACACATAGCCTACCTCGAAATCTCATACCACCATCAGCTCCATATGTCCAGTCAACATTACCTTCATCATTAACAACCTCAACTGCTTTGGTCTGTAACCTGTCATCCTGAGTCTGAGAATGAATGATCCGGCTGATCAAAGTAGGTTGTACAGTCAAACTACAAAGAAGAGCCCCTGTACTCTGAAAACTCGGCATTATAGAAAACTCTGCCAATGCCTCTAACATCATCCACTCCTGAATCATCATAAAGGCAACTAATCCTCTCGGTTTTCGACTTAAGGCATCCGCTACCACATTAGCCTTTCCAGGATGATACTGAAGGGTCATATCAAAATCCTTCATCTTCTCCATCCACCTCCGTTGCCTCATATTCAACTCCTTCTGAGTGTAGAGGTATTTGAGGCTCTTGTGATCAGAGAATAACTCAAATTCCTCGCCATACAAGTAATGCCTCCACACCTTCAATGCAAGAACCGCTGCTGCCAATTCCAGATCATGTGTAGGGTAATTCTGCTCATGTGGCTTAAGCTGCCTAGAGGCATACGCTACCACCTTGTCATCTTGCATCAAAACACAGCCAAGACCCTGATGTGATGCATCTGTGTAAATCACAAATCTCTCACCATTAACAGGAATGGTAAGAACTGGTGCCGAAGTCAATCTCGTCTTCAGCTCCTCAAATGCCTGCTCACAGCGGTGATCCCAAACAAACTTCACATCCTTCCGAGTCAAACGAGTCAATGGTGCAGCAATCTTGGAGAAACCTTCAATGAAACGCCTGTAGTATCCTGCCAGTCCTAAGAAGCTACGAATCTCAGTGACAGTAGTAGGCCGTTTCCAACTCATCACAGCCTCCACCTTGGCAGAATCTACTGAAACTCCATCCTTAGAGATCACGTGCCCCAAAAACTGAATCTGCTCTTGCCAAAAGTCACACTTCTCAAACTTAGCATAGAGCTGATGCTCACGCAAAGTCTGAAGTGTAATGCTCAAGTGTCTCTCATGTTCCTCCTTAGTCTTGGAATATATCAGAATGTCATCAACAAATACCACAACAAACTGATCCAAGTAAGGTCGAAACACTCGGTTCATCAAATCCATAAAAGCTGCCGGAGCGTTAGTCAGCCCAAAAGGCATGACTAAAAACTCATAGAGGCCATAACGAGTCCTAAAGGCAGTCTTAGGAATATCCTCATCCCTAATCCTCAGCTGATGGTACCCAGTCCTCAAGTCAATCTTAGAGAACAACTGCGCCCCTCTGAGTTGATCAAACAAATCATCGATGCGTGGCAATGGGTACTTGTTCTTAATAGTGACCTTATTCAGCGCACGGTAGTCAACACATAAGCGGAGTGACCCATCCTTCTTCTTGACAAAAAGAACAGGTGCTCCCCACGGTGATGTGCTAGGTCGAATAAACCCCTGATCTTGCAACTCTTGAGTCTGCTTCTTCAACTCACTCAATTCAATTGGCGCCATTCTGTAAGGTGCCCTAGAGATAGGTGAAATACCAGGAGTGAGGTCGATGCAGAAATCCACTGCCCTCCTAGGAGGCAAACCCGGAATATCCCGAAACACATCTGCATACTCTGACACTGTAGGCAACTGTTCTATAGTCACGCATTGCTCAACTACCTCGATGTGGGCCAGAAATCCCATAGTCATGGTGCCCTCAAACTCCCCACACTTATATCGAGAAGGAAACTGTCCCGGAACTGAGAATACAATAATCCTCTCATGGCAGTTCAACTGAGCATGATATCTAGCCAACCAATCCATACCCAGTATAGCATCAAATTCTCTCATACGTAATACTATTAAATCAATAGGATACTCCAACTCCCCAATTGTAACAGGGCAAGCACGACATATTCTATCAAGTGTCGTCGCGCTCCCGAGTGGAGTTGTAATAGATAAGGCATTACTTATATGTCCAGGTTCTAATCCCAGTGTATTCACAAATGATAGTGCAATAAAAGAATATGAAGAACCTGAATCAAACAGTACTCTACCTATACTGCCATAAATAGTAAGTGTACCTTCCACTGCTGGTGGTGCACGATCCTGTCTCCCATCTGGAACAACTGCATAAACCCTTGCACCTCCTTGTTGCTGTGGTGCCTGACCTTTCTGCTGGTTATTCTTGTGAGGCTTGGGACAATTACGAGCCAAATGTCCTTGCTCACGACAATTGTAGCAATGCCCGCTGAACTGATATGGCTGTGCATCATGAGGTGTGGCTGGTACTAAAGCTGTGGATTGCTCACCTTCACCAACTCTCTGCCGTTTCCCTGCTCGCCAATCTTGTTTACCTCTCTGCCAAGACTGACCCTGCCAGTTTCTCTGTGTCTGCTGCTGCTGACCCCTCTGATTCTGTTGAGAGCTACTCTGATTCTGTTGAGTGCTGCTAGCCCCCTTACCTTTCTGTTCTGCCCTACGCTCCTTCTGTTTCTGAAAGGCAATGTTATTATTCTCCTCTACTGCCATAGCACATTCCACCACTCTAGCATATGTGTCAAAACGATGACCCACCACAAACTTCTTCACATAAGAGACTAATCCTCTCTCAAACTTTCTAACCTTGTGTAACTCATTCGCAACAATGTGAGGAGCGAATCGGGATAGCTCTGTAAACTTCCTCTCGTACTCACTAACTGACATCTCATTATTCTGTTCCAGCTGCGTGAACTCTGCTACCTTCTTCTCCTTCACTGATTGTGGAAAGTATTTGTCATTGAACCGAGTTTTAAAATCATCCCAGGTCATAGTTGTAATGTCCACAACCATCCTGGTCTCTGACTGCCACCACTGGCGCGCCTCACCAGATAAAAGAAATGCACCAATCTTCCTTTTCTGCACCTCAGTGCAGTCCATCATCTCAAAATACTTTTCCATATCTTCAATCCACTTCTCAGCATCAAGTGGATCGGTAGCTCTAGCAAATTCAACAGCCCCCAATTTGCGGATATCTCTGATAAATCCAATCATAGGATTCGGCACATGAGGTGCATCCTCCAACTGAACATCGTCATGGTTAACACCACCACGACCAACACCTCCCTGACCTCTGCCTCTAGCAGGTCGTCCTCTGCCTCTTCCGGCTCCTGACATCCTATTTTCAGTAAAGAATGTCAATGATAAGTCTCACAAGTAATTTATACTTAAACTGGAGCATGGTAAGAGAGCAATAATTCGTATAAGTATATGCTCCTATTCTTACTACCACTTTTCTTAGCCAGGTAATTCTTAACCTAGGCTCTGATAATTTTTCTTTTAAAATGAAAATTTATGTCCAACATCTCTTGGTTTTAAATTAAATATATAAAACTATAGTGTATAATAAAAAAAGAAAAGAAAAGGAAAAAAGTGTTCAACAACTCTTTAAGACAACTCTAATGAAAAGTCATTTATATTAAAATGATTTTTAATTAAATCAATTGTATTTTATAGTATAATCTACCTCAAGGTTTAGAAATGAACAAGGAATCAATCGTACTTTAAAACTACCCGTTGTTTTTATCTTCCTTCTTCTTCTTCCTTTTTTCCTTTTTTATTTTATTTTATTTTATTATTTTTTTTTTTTGAAAAAAAAGGAAATTTGTCTCTCATTCTTGTTCAAGCAATAATATATATATACATAAATAAAAGTAGAACTCTTAACCGAGGGCATACATGGTAGGGAATTCATGATCTGTATTCTTCAGATAGTATAGCATATATATACACACACATATTAAACAATAAGCATATTAGCACAACAAGAGAATGAGAACACCATGATGAATTTGGATTATGGACAACAAACTTCAGATAATTAAGAAACAAAATAGGAAAAACTTTTTTTAACACTGTTTCCTCAAAATTGACTTTCTGGGTATGCTTTGAAATAGAGTTAAATGGTAAATGTTGAAAGAAAGATGGGTAGAAAAAGTAAGAGAGGTAGAATGAGAGAGGCAAGATCCAATCTGCGGATTATATAATGTTCTTTAGATCCCAACAACCGAGTATATATGAAAGAAGAAGACGTGTCGGTTTGATTGCTATTGTTTCAAACTATCTTTAGACCCCAACAACTAAGTAGATATGAAAGAAGAAGACGTGTCGGTTTGATTACTATTGTTTCGAAGCTATGGAAAAACATGAAGTATTTTTTTATTTATTTTTTTTAAAAAAGAAGAGAAACAAAAAGGAAAATAAAACTTTGTTTATTTTTTATTTTGTTTTTTGAAATATTCTTAAAATAAAACTAACGTCGTATTAAGCATGTATGTAATGAGAAAATTGGGTAATCGAAAGCAACATATACATTTTTAAAAACGGAACCAACCCTTTCAATATATATTGTTATTATTACCAAAAAGTGTAAATTAAGGAAAACTGTTTTCTTTTTTAAAAATTCTAAAAGTAAAATTGACGGTATAATATAAATATATTTATCTTTAATATTTTCATTTTTTCTAAATAATTGTATTACCATTTACAGATTTTTAAAGGACACAAACTTCTTGGCAACCGGCAAATGAGAACATAGTCCTTTTCCAAAGAGCACATTGTTGGGTACAAGCTGAAACAGTTAGGAACATTCTTTTTTTAATTATAAATTAAATAATTAGAAAAAGAATAACTATTTTACAAAAATAAATTAAAAAATTTCATGATTTTCCATGATAAAATTTTAAAATTTATTAGTTTAGAGTTAAGAAGAGAGGAAACTAAATAATACAGTTGGAAGTGGAGAGACACGTTTAAAAAAGAAAATGTTATATAAATATTTAAGAGTATTTTGAGTGAGAGTCAAACTCTTTGAATAAATATTACACGACTCATCAGAATAAGTATTAGTTTTCAATTAACATCAAGTCCAAGAAGAATTCTTGTTAATTAAGAGATCTTGCAAAATAGAGATTGACTCCATCGTCATTTGAAAAAATAAATAAATAAATAAATAAAATGAGATTGACTCCATCTCTAGTCTAAATCTTAGAGTAGTGATATATTTTCTCAAAAGTGATATATATACTTAGATTTTTTAATATTATTTTATATCAATTCAAAAATTGTGACTCATCAAAAACATTATCATTTTTTTTTTAATATATAAAAGAGAATTTCTCCTGTTGTATAGGCCTTTTAAGTGTAGATGAGGGACTCTCTTGTTCTACAAGAGGCTCCAATGTTGGTGCAGCAATTTTTGATGTACTTTTTTTGGACATTCTGTGGGACTTTAAATCTGTAAATACAATTATTTGTTAGATAGACAAGGCCACATATAGAACCCTAAAAAAACTTATTGCTTTGTTTGGTTGATATAATTTTCAATTGGGTGTCCAAAGAAGAGAGTAAAAACTGTTAATCCGACCCTTATACAATTTAAAAAAAAAAAAAAAACTAAAAAATGAACACCATCGAGTGTAGACGACAATGTATAATAAAAAAGTGATGTTGGATTTCAAACCTTGTAGAAGAAATAGGGTTTTTTGTTTTTTAAAAATTCTAAAAATAAAACTGATGGTGTCTTAAGCAATGTGAGAAACTGTGCTTTTAAAAATCGACGCTTATATATTATTACCAAGAAGTGTATATAAAAAATACAAATAGAATATACTTTTATAGGGTATATATATATATATATATATATATATATATATATATATATATTGGGCCTTTTGGCACTTTGGCAGTATTGCAATAGTCGTAGTGAACCTAACTATAATAAAATTATATATATAGAAAGATAGGGATCGCTGGCTCATAGAATAGTCCCACACAGTGATGGAGTTACTATTTACTTAGAAGACTAAATTGAAACCTGCAGCCAATTTGTCAACAAATTTAGATAGGTTCATCTTCTAGACACAAAGTTGACTTTAATTCTTAATTTTAAAACAAATAAAAAAATTTATTTGACACAAAGTTTACCCATCCACTTCTCATTGCCCAACTTTTTAATAGCAGTCAAAAGCTAACTTTTTTTAGAAGAATGTGACTTCAAAAATAAAATCATTTGTATATATTCATTACAATAAAATTTCTTTTTTCTTGAAGTAGCAATTTCTTGATTGGCATCAACTCCATCAGTCAGCAGTACCTAATAGGCGCATCCTTTATCTTCCTTCCATTATTGTCATTGTCGATTTATTTCCGGAATGGCATCCATCACTTGTTGATGTCTCTTCATCAATGGAACTTCTTTCTACAAAGAAACCAGGTTCTTTGGGATGAGGAAATGTCACCCCCTCGTTACTCAACATGAATACAACCGATGACATGATTGGTCTGTCTTTTGACAGTTTCTGAACATATAGTAAAGCCACTTGAATACATCTTAGCACTTGAGATTCAATGTAAGAATTTTCCAAACATGGATCCATTAGTTCCAGGGCTTTGTGTTCATTCCACAGCAGCCAAGCCTATAACAATCACATCCTCAAACTTAGTAATTCACATAGAAAGCTTGAGAGAAAAATAAAATAAAATAAGAATACATTTCACCATAGATATTTACATGTCCCAAAAGCGAATGATAGTGATCAGGATGGTGAAATTTCCCGTTCCTCTTGTCACTCACCATTTCCAATAAAAGCATACCTAAACTAAAGACATCAGATTTTACTGAAAATTTCCCATCAATGGCATATTCTAGTGACATGTAACCACTGCATAAAAATATCAAATTTAAGCATTTGAAAATTAATGAACAATTACTTTCCGAGATTTGTTTGCAGAACTTGCTATGTTCCTATTAGTCGCTTTGTTTTGGCAACAATTTGATCTCTCCCAAAACTTCTTGCTTTCCCAAAGTCTGAAATTTTGGGACTTTGTTCTTCATCTAGTAAAATGTTGCCGGCTTTGAGATCCCTATGAATGATTCTTAATCTTGAGTCCTGGTGAAGGTAGAGAAGTCCCCTTGATATGCCCATAGCAATTTCAAATCGTTTTTCCCATGGAAGTTCTAGTCCTTTATTCTGATCTGCACAACATTTTCATCCATATAAGTTCCAAATCAGTTCTCACTTTTACAATAGAGCAGAGGACTCTGCTGCATAAATGCATTAACTGAACTATGAAATTGGTCTAATAAGATAGATAGTCAAGAGAACTAGACCAAAAATGAAATAGTCCAAGCTTTTGTTCGGCATGTACTCATATATTAGCATCCTCTCTTCTCCTTCAATGCAACTGCCTAACAGCCTGACAAGATTCCGGTGTTGAAGTTTGGAAATCAAAATAACTTAGGTTTTGAATTCTTCTACACCTTGTCCAGAATTCTTCAAAAGCCTCTTGACTGCTATTTCGTGTCCCGTTGTTAACTTACCCTACAAATTTTTGAAAAAAAATGTTAAGATCACGGGGTTCATTTTCTTGATTACATATCGAACCAAAGATTACTAATTTAACCTTGTAAACAGGACCAAAACCACCCTCCCCGATTATATTTGTGGAACAGAAGTTCTTAGTGGCATTCACAATAGTGTCTAAATCAAAAAACGATAACTCAATGTCTTCATTCTTAGTTTCCGCACCTGCAAAATAAAAAAGTTATAGATGCATATAGATAATTGTTATCCTTTTTACCAAATAAATAAATACTAGATAACTGTTATTATTCAAATAACCGTCTAGTACGCTTAGAGGGAATGAAAACTTACAAAATATTCAGAATGTCTATCTAAATGCATAAATTGTCTAATAAACATGCGACAACAACTGCCTTAAAATGTATCATTAATCATACCAGAGAGAAATGGTGGTATACCTCTTTTCTTTCTCCTCCTCTTAATTATACACCAAGTTAACAAGCTGAGGACAAGCAACCCAGAAGCTGTTGATACCACTACGATCAATATCAGTGTCTTCCTCTTCTGATTATGGTCTATATTTATGAGAAAGTTAGTTCATCATTAGTCCTAAACCTTCATTTGTTGGGCATTCTTTCAGAGCAGCATAAATAAAGGAAATTCTAGACATGAATCCTAAACATTTCATTTGAAGATATTCCACAGTACAATAAAAAGCAATTAGCATGATTGAAACTGACCTAAACTAGGTAGATTGAAACCTAAGTACTCATATTTGAGCAAACAAACTCTTTTGAGTTTTGTTAAAATAATTTAAGCGGCTGACATGTAAGAGAGTAATAGGAGAATGTGGATATCATAAAAGAGTATAACACCAGTATGCCTACTGAGTTCAGAAGCTGGCATTCGTATGTAGATGTCTTGCTCTCCATCTTTGTTATTAAACTCTCGAATATCAACTAAATCGCCAAACCAAATCAAACAGCCACTGCCTCCTCCTCTGATATCTGAATTAGCATAAGCTATACAAGAACAATTCTTCAAGCACTCTGCCTCGCATTCCTCAAGGTTCAGACTCTCCTTCAGCCAAAAGTCTAACAGGTCTGGCCATTTCACATTTTTTAGTTTCACAAATCCCTCTCCGCTCTCGCAATCCAGTGATGTCCTCCTCACACATCCACTGGACCAATTAAGCAGGTCCCATTCTTCCTGCGAATTTGGAATGAACCCATCCAAGCACTCACATACTGGCCTATTGTTAATTCTGCAAATACCATTGGCTCCACACTGTCCATAATCATCACAGGTATCATTTGGTACTGCATTTATAACAGCCCATTCAGAGCTCCCTTCATTCAGGATGAAGCGTTGTAGCAGACCCAATTGATTGAGCATTAATCTAGTAATATACAAGTTATTAGTCGCCTCATACATATAATACAGCTCGTCTTCACTGGCTATAAAACTCGGTTTACTAACCGGGTTTAACCTCACACCAACACCGCTAAATCGAACTCCATTCCATGGCCCAGTGCGGTATATCTTCTCTGATGATCCCTTTTTAAGAACAGGCTGAGGCAACCCAGTAATATCAACTCCGTAAGTGAAGTCTCCAGGAGATGGGTCAGTGGCATCTCTCCATGATGTCAAATATCTATTTAGGCCAGTCTTTAAGTTCCATCCCAACTTCATGCTAGGTAAAAGTGTGTCTGGTGGGAAATCAAAGCTTTGCCATATGTAGCTACTTTCTGTATCAGCATCAGTATTCTTTTTTAGGACTAGGTTTCCAGAATTCAGTAGCTGTGCAACTGATGAGTTTTGCACAGTTGAAGAATTTGAGGACCAGATGACACCCTTTGTGGCATTGAAGAGCACGAGATTTCCATCGCTGTTGATAGTTAAATTTGCATATGAATCTGCAATTGGGGTTTCCCTGTTTGCTACCCACACCACAGTTTCTGGAGAAATCTTGTAGTACCATATTCCCAAGTACAGATTCTTGGAACCACTGGGAGAAAAGAAGCCTAGTTCGAAGCTTTGGCCCGATGATACTAAACTCTCACCATTGGTGATTGATTGATACGGAGTTAAAGTATTAGCTGCGGTGGAGAATTCTAAGACTGAGAATGAGATTAGTGAGTAAAAGATGATGAAAGGAAAGGTATCCATTGGCAATATTTCTTAAAAAAAGGTGACCATGTTTTGGCCATCAGAGCACTATTATAAGCAATAATTAGGCCAAATTCCACATTTGTGTGCCACTGTAAGTCAATCTTATGTGGGCCTGACTATGATTGATCATCTCAGTTTCTTGACGAGTTCGTTTGGTAGAAATTTCGAAGATAAGTAGTTTTCAAAAATTCCTCTTCCTTGATTAAAAGGTCATATTCCTTCCTTGTGTTCCTTGTTTTGTCGATGCAAGAAAAAAAGTTGTGGAAGAGAAGGATTTTGGCGGAGATTAAATGTTGGAATGATTGTTGGTTAACAGACTTCACCAATTTTAAGTTTATCACATGGCCTCCAAATGATATCTCCGTGAATGGGAGCAGATTAGCTAATTTAAAAAAAAATTAAGTTTTGAAAACGCAATTTGAATATGAATGAAAATTATAACCACAATTTAAAATACAATAAAATTTTAAATAAAAAATATTTATTTTAAAATTATCACTTAATAAATGATAAGCATCATTTAAAATGAAATAAAATTTTAAATAAAAATATATTTATTTTTTAATTACCACTTAAAAAGTTTAGCACTTCAGTTTTAACGAACACCGACTTAATAATGAAGGGAGAGACCTATAAATCAGTTGTTTCATCCGGGGGCAAGCAAAATATTTTGACATCACTAGGAATTTCTACTTATAGGGTAGGAGGCAAGTATTGTCCTATTTAGAATTCAACCACATAAGCCACAAATAGTGTAAAGAGATATGAAAAGAGAAGCAGAGTTAAAAAAAATATATATATGGAGACTTCCATTTCATGCAAGCCAATCCACTAATCCATTGTAAATAGTGAAAAAGTAAAAATCCAAGACCTGGAATTGACAGTTCTACTTGATCACTCATTTAAAAAGTTGCTCACATACATCTACTCTCTGAAGTTCAGTTATTGATATTCATCAACGTGATCAACCTCTTTATCAGTCATCTTGCAAGTCAAAAAACTCCAAAACAGTTTGATCCTTTTTCAATAATCCATTAAAAGCTCAACGTATCAATTGTTCCAAACCGACAAAAAAAAAAAAAAAAACAACTCTAGTGTGTAGAAAAACAATAAGTAAAAAATGCTTTCAAGACAAGTTGGACAGTGTTAGAAAACCAAATTTCAAGCTTAAGTACCGTGAACAAGTAGAAGAAGAGACATCAAAAATTCGAAAAGCATGTATACACAGTCTTGAATGAAAGTTCAAGTCATGCAAGTCTTGGAAATACAACTAGGCAGATTAAAATATATTCTCTAATAGTCCCTTTACCAATAGAATATGGAGCTGAGTCTATATTGTGTTAGCCTTCTTCTACACTTGGTCCCATCCCATGGTTAATGGGGCAATTTCCAATCTCAGAGGTCAAAGTCCGGTAAGCACTCTCAATAAACCGACTCTCTCTACTGTATATTATGCGTGGATGGAGAGGAATACCTTACTGATTTCAAATGAGTACAAGGACCCAACTTCCATTGATTTTTTTTTGAAGCTGTGAGAGTAGACTTACTTCTTTATCAAATGACTATGGATAGGAGGCCATAAAAAACCTTGAATTTGGGAGTGCCCCATTTCATAGGGCACAGACTTTAAATTTTAAATGTACTGCTTCCGTGATTCGTCACGAATAAATGAGACATTTTAGTATGAATGTTATCTTTGAGTTTTGGTACAAGTCATGTAACCCGTGAACTATGCATGTTACACCACTCTACCCCCTCAACTATATTATTGATACTTGATACCCTCAACTAACCCTTTTTCTGCAAATTCATATGATCCTTGACTAGCCGTAGAAGACTCTATGTTACATAGACTCTTTAAAAGTAGTGAAATGACACGTATCCCTCGGACATGGGCATGGGATATGTGTCCGATACTTTTAGTTGAACATATACTTAAAAAGTATATCCAATCATTCAACTACATTATATTATTACTTTAAAATGAGTTAAATGTCTATATTGAACATTATATTAGATAAAAACTTTACTTTACTCTACTCTTGAAAATAAAATAAACTAATTAATAAAATGAATATTTAGCCGTGTCTGTGTGTCCTTTTGTTTGGAAATTTGACATGTCTGACGTATGGATATATACCCGTGTCCGACACCTGTACCTGAGTCCATGTAACATAGAGAAGACTAACATTAAATTTACACGTGATCGGTTAAAAAGTAAAATGACAAAACCGCCTTCTCCATCTCCACCTCCACCTCCTCTTCCATCACCGTTGCTACTACCTATAACGCCACCATACAGGGAAGTAAGGGAGTTGGCAAAGTGAAACAGGAGAACAGTGATCGGAATTGGGGTTTTTTAACACGAAGAATCTGTTAGTTAAACAAAGAATTGGCAAGAAATGGATGGTTGTTTCTACAACGTTTTTAGTTGAATTGTACATTTTCTCTCATAGATCCGTAGATTAAAATCCAAATCCTAAGAGCCAAAACACTAATTCCTGTTAAGATTTTATCTCTTATAGTACCGCTATAAGATTGAATTATTTACTCCTTGATTTAGGATTAATTGGTAGGTAATTTGTTACCTATTTTAGCTAATCATATTCTATAAATTGGATGTAATACTCATCAATGAATGATTGAATATAATTTTTAATTCTTGTATTCTTTCTCTAAATTTCAAAATGGTATCAGAGCCAACCAAAAAAAGGCTTTGAATCTCTTTGAATACCCTCGAAACGTCCGTACCTTTGAAATTCAGCCTCTTTGAATTTCTTTGAATCTCAAATACCACTAAACTCCTCCCCAAGCCCATTATTGATTTGCCCACAATTGAAGTTAAATTTGAGCATCTAAAAGTTTATGCAAAAGCTTATGCAGGTCCGTACCTTTGAAATTCAGTCTCTTTGAATTTCTTTGAATCTCAAATACCACTGAACTCTTCTCCAACCAATCAGGAATCAGGCGAATTGGATTCGAGTGGTATAAGTTTGGATCAAAGTGGTGATGAACGCCCAGAAATGGAAAGTATGGCGCCAACCCCATTGTCGTCCGAGTTCGAGTCCCTCGCAACTAATATATCAAACCAATCGCCTGCTGAGGATGTTCCTGATTTAGTGCTTGAGCCATTAAAAAAACCACCGCGTCACGCTAGAGATATTCCTAAACCCACATATGAACCCAAACTTTCTAGTAAAGTTAAGTATCCCATGAGCAATTATGTGTCGAACCATCGATTGTCAGAATCAAATTTGTCATTTGTAAATCAATTATCTACTGTATCTATTCCTAACAGTATACAGGAAGCCTTAGCTGACCCTAGGTGGAAAGCAGTTATGAACGAGGAGATGCAATCCTTACAGAAAAATAAAACTTGGGAACTCATTGATCCTCCACCAGGAAAGAAACCAGTTGGATGTCGATGGATTTACACTGTGAAGTATAAAACAGATGGCACAGTTGAACGCTTTAAAGTAAGATTGGTGGCAAAAGGTTACACCCAAACCTATGGAATCGATTACACAGAAACGTTTGCACCTGTAGCCAAAATAAACACAGTTCGTGTCTTGTTGTTTTTAGCTGCGAACTTGGATTGGCCATTGCAACAATTCAATGTGAAGAATGCTTTTCTGCATGGTGAATTATCTGAAAAAGTCTACATGAATCTCCCCTTAGGATGCATGATACCCGAAAAGTATAGTCGGAAGGTCTGCAGGTTAAAGAAATCATTATATGGGTTGAAACAATCTCCAAGAGCATGGTTAGGAATATTCACAAAGTCTATGATAGCCTTTGGCTACCATCAGAGCAATTTAGACTACACGTTATTTCTGAAAAAACAACAGGGTAAGATCACTGTACTCATTGTATATGTAGATGACATGGTGGTTACAGGGAATGATCCTGAAGAAATGAAGGCTCTCAAGAAGTACTTGTCCAAAGAATTCGAAATGAAAGATCTAAGTTTTTTGAGATATTTCTTGGGATAGAAATATCTCGATCTAATAAAGGAATCTTTCTCTCTCAAAGAAAATATGTCTTAGAACTATTATAAGAGACTAGCATGACAACATATTAACCAGCTGAGACACTAGTTGAAGAAGGACTGAAGTTATGTGTTGAGTCCAACCAAGTACCTACTAATAAAGGAAGATACCAAAGACTTGTAGGGAGATTGATATACTTAACACACACGAGACTGGATCTGGTTTATGCATTGAGCATTGTTAGCCAGTTTATGCATGATCTTGGAGAGCAACATATGAATGCAATTATACGTATTTTGAGGTATTTGAAATCTGCTCCTAGAAAAGGAATTTTGTTCACTAAAAATGCTGGTTATCAAAACATAACTGCATATACTGATGCTGACTGGTCTGGAGCTATAGATGATAGGCGATCTACTTCTGGTTACTTTACTTTTGTAGGAGGTAATCTTATTACATGGAGAAGCAAGAAACAAAATGTTGTTGCTCGCTCGAGTGCAGAAGCTGAATTCAGAGGTATGGCGCTTGCACTTTGTGAAACATTGTGGTTAAGGTTTCTATTGCGGGATTTGGGTTATCTACCTGGGCAACCTATTCGACTATATTGTGACAATAAAGTAGCATGTGATATTACCCAAAATCCAACATGATCGTACGAAACATGTTGAAATAGACAGATTCTTCATTAAGGAGAAGTTGGATTGCAAAATTGTGGAGTTGCCTAAGATTTGATCTGAGGATCAACTAGTCGACATTCTCACCAAAGCAATCTCAAATCAAATGTTTTTAAAAATTTTAGACAAGTTGGGCATGTGTGACATCTATGCACCAACTTGAGAGGGAGTGTTGAGATTTTATCTCTTATAGTACAGTTGTAGGATTGAATTATTTACTCCTTGATTTAGGGCTAATTGGTAGGTAATTTGTTACCTGTTTTAGTTAATCATATTCTATAAATTGGATGTAATACTCATCAATGAATGATCGAATATAATTTTTAATTCTTGTA